GGCCGGGGGAGGGGCCGGGGAGGGGGCGGGGAGGGGGCGGGGGAGGGGCCGGGAAGGGCCGGGGGAGGGGCCGGGGAGGGGGCGGGGAGGGGGCGGGGGAGGGGCCGGGGAGGGGGTCGGGGAGGGGCCGGGAAGGGCCAGGGAAGAGTTCAGGGTCCATGTTTCACAGGGACAGAGTTTCCATTTGGGAAGATGGAAAGTTCTGGAGACAGATGGTGGCGACGGCTGCACAACAGTGTGAATTCACTTCATGCTCCGAGCTGTGCGCTTACACGTGGCTAAGACACGTGTAATCCACCACAATACAAACCATAATAACGTTAAAAGCAGACGAGGGCGGGCGAGCGCGCCCTGACGGAACCACACGCCAGACGCCCGGGTTTGGAGCCGCACCGCGAAGACGACGCTTCCCGCGCCTGCCGTGTCAGCTGCCTGTCCCACCACCACCCAGGACCATCACCCGGGGCGCCAGGCGCCACCCGACTCCTCACCGGGGGGCCTGATGACACCCACAGCGGGAAGGGTACTCAGAGGCAATAACAGGCACACTTCAGGGGAGCCCAGTCCTTGAATTCGTAATCTAACACCTTCCGGTCGCCGTGGGAATTCGCATTAGAAAGTAAATTAATTGTCACTGTAAAGTGGAACCCTTCTGCCGCTAATTATGTGGCATCCTGGCTACTAACTAAACTGCCACTCGAGGGTAATTTCCCATTTTTCCTGAGAGGCAGCAGGAGGTGACGGCAGCAAAAAGTCTGAAACGCAGAATCCGTGCAGGTTTATTGAGTGATAACCGCCTCCACGCAGATGCCAGGGCGTGGGGGGCATGCGGGGCATAGCTGGTATACCGAGGCCCTCGGGGCACCAGGCCACTGAGGAGCAGGGTCCCTTTGTGGGAAGGGCCCCGGGAAGCTCTTTTTGGGCTAATTTCCCCAGAAACAGCCACCCCCATATCCTACAGGCGGCCGACTGTTAGCACAGGTTCATCCCAGCCTTCACGTGGGGCCCAGACCGGCTCCTCCTTTCTCCCTTCCCCTTGTTTGGCAATGCCCACCATCACAGGGGTGGCAGCTCTGAGATCGAGTGTTCCCCACCATCTGGGAGCCAACAGAAGTTCCCTAAGAACAGACTTGAGGCCCAACCCTGACTGAGGATCTCCAGAGAAACTTCCACAGCCCCACCCCGGCCCCCAGGATGGTGACAGGCCAGAGCTCCAATCAACTGGCCACGTGCCCTCCTGTCGTGAAGAAACCCAGAAGGAAGACGGCCTGCGTACGGGCCGAGGCTCAGGGGTGTCCGGCCCCACTGGCCTGAGGCAGACGCCCCGGAGGCAACAACAGTGAATGAGCAGGTACTGTGTCGGGCAGGGGTTCGAAGCCGCGTGCTTCCTGACGAGGGAACAGCATCCGGCATCCGCTGGGGACAGAGGAAAGAGGATCCGGGCCCTGCCCACTCGCCAGGGCGGCTGGGGCTTTGTGGGGGAGGGGCGGGACGCAGGCTGCAGCAGGCGGAGGGGGTGCTGTGGAGGGGCCTGGGCAGAGGAAGGGGAGGGCCCAACGGGGCTCAGGCAGGGCCGGGAGGGAGGTGGAGGCACCCCCAAAGCCGATGGCGGGCAGGAGGGCGGGACAGTGGCTCCTACGCTCTGCCCCCTCCTGCCCTATTTATCTCCCCCGGACACACATTCTCCCCAGGGTCCTGGAGGCCGAAACAGATCTTCGGTTTTTAAGCATAAGGTGCAGACACAGAAGAGACACGCGAACAGATACACAGCATTTCACAGTATGAACCTTTCACTGGGGTGGAGAATTAGGGAAAGGATGTCGAAAACATCTTCTTGGACAGAGAACTAAGAAAGGTAAGTTTGAGGGGGTCCTGGGTGGCTCAGTCGGGTAAGTGACCAACTCTTGATCTCAGCTAGGGTCATCACCTAGAGGTTTGCGGGATTGAGCCCTGCATCAGGCTCCTCAGCCACCACATGGGGTCTGCTTGGCACTCTCTCTCCCTCTCTCTGCCCCTCCCCCGCTTGTGCTCTCTGTCTCTCTCTGAAATAATAAGTAAACATAAACAACAACAACAAAAAAAGAGCTAAGTTTGAGAAACATTGTTCAAAGGGTTTGAATCTCCATACCTTCCCTGATGGTCCTCAGTAACAGCCATGGATAGGACCCAGTGTGCGCTCAGCCTGAGCTGAATTAAGGCACAAAGCGCCCACGTGGCTGTGAGCAAGGTGTGCTGGGGGCCCACATCCTCCCCTGAGAATGGCGATAACCTGACTTTGTGAAGTCTGTCAAGGTTAAGGGCCACACTCAGGCAGTGCTAAGCATTTGCCCATTCTTTAACCCCATGTTGCACATGAAACAATGCTGACAGCACACAGTAGGTGCTCAGTAAAACGGGCACTGTGCTCTGGACAATGAGCTCAGCGCAGTTCTTGACTCTGCAGACCCAAGGTCATGGGCTTCCCTCCATCATTCCCTGCCCCGGGCACAGACGGGTATGCCCGTGGCCATGCAAAAACAGCATAGGGACACTCATAGCACCTCCCCTGTCCACCAGCAGCCCTGAGCCTCACTGGCAGCGTCCAGCGTGGTGGGAAAGGAAGCGAGGACATCGCAGAGCAGAGAGGAAAAGGCAGAGCGGGGGCCTCAAGCGATGGTCCCGTTAAGTCCCCTCATCGTCACACCAGCTGGGGACCAGGGAGCAGCTTTGCTTCCCCAGAGTCGAGGACAACTCCAGCCCCCCTCTCCCCAACCTAACACAAAACCAGGGGCCTGACCACAAGGAACTGACCACCCTCCGGCCACGGCGCCAAAGGGGCGAGGCAGGCCGCATCAGGACAGCGGCGACTGGCTTGCGGGTGAGAAACACAAGGTGCCCTGACTCACCAGAGGTGCCGGCACCCTGGGCCCCGCAGAAAAGCTGCTTCGAACAGGAACGGGCTGTGCTCCGCTGGGCCGAGGCACGGAGACTGGAGGGACCCTCAGAGCTGGGAGAGACCAGAACAGGACAGGGTCAGGTAGGTGCCGTCAAGAGCAGATTGTTAAATCTCCGAGTGGATCCTGGGATCTCTGAGCTAAAACCCAGGGGCCGCACTTCTGCTTCAGGAAAGGCGGCAGGTGTGCTTCCCCATCTCGCCCACACAGCGCAACTAAAACACCAGGATGTTGTACAGAAGACAAGCAAGACTCCGGAAGGGGGAGAGGAGGAGGAAGGCTGGCAAGGGACTACGGGGCCCGAGGAGTGGCATGGGGCTCGGTTCCCTCGGCTGGGTTTTTGCCTCAGTCATCCCAGGCATGCAGCTAAAGAAGTCGCAAACCCAGACATACAGTAGAAGCAGACAAAAAGCCCCCACGAATGACTGTTCTCTGTAGCCAAGGGACCAGGAAAGTGGCAGCCTGAGGAGACAAGGGGTTTACACAGCGCCACTCCACCACAGCCGGAGGCCACAGAAAACGGCGTCCACCCAGACCCACTGCAAAGGCTGAGTAGGGAGCTGAGGCTTCCAGCCTGTGTAGATTTAATAGGCACCCAGCCCCCACTGGGTGGGGTCAGATAAGAACAAGTAAGAGCTGGGACTTTTTTCCCCACCAGGTGGTAATGAATCCTCCTCTCATTCCATGGTATTAGCGCGAGCAACATGGGGAGCTTGAGTATCCACACCCACGCGGCGGTAACAAGGCACCCCTTCCTCACCACACAGGGCTGGTGTGAGGAAAGAGCTAATGAAGAGTCAAGACTTTTCCATCACCACCAGAAATGAGGTCACCCCCCACAGTACTGGTGGGGGCCACACAGGAAGCAGGAGCCCCCAACCCCACCAGCAGTAACAAGGAGCTGCCCCACTGGAGTATCAACAGAAGCCAACTGTGGACTAGACTCCTGCATCCACCTGGCAACAACGGGACAGCACCCCCTCCTCCCTTCCGAGAGCGGTGTCAACGAACGCCGGCCAAAACAGAGGTTTACGAAGATCCAGAGTCTCACCAGATAATATGAAAATGTACACCTTTGCACTGAAAATGACTCATTATCCCAAGAACCAGGAAGATCTCAAATGGGAAAAAGACAGTCCGTGGCTGCTGACATTGGGGTGACAGATGTTAGAATTATCTGACAAAGAGTTTAAAGCAGTCACAATAAGAATAAACAATTATGAACATGTTGGAAACAGATGAAAAAAACCTAGAACTTTCATTTAAAAAACATAAAATATCAACGAAAAAATGGAGATAAAGAAGAACCAAGTAGAAATGTTAGAACTGAAAAATGTGGTCATTGAAATAAGCAGCCCAGTGGGTGGACTCGACAGCAGAACAGAGGGGACAGAACAACCAACAGAAATTACCTAAACTGCATGGCAGAGAGAAAACAGATTAAGAATTTAAAATAATCACGGTAGTCTTTGGTGGCTTAGTCGGTTAAGTGTCCGACTTCGGCTCAGGTCATGATCTCACAGTTTATGGGTTCCAGCCCCGCATCGGGCTCTGTGCTGACAACTCAGAGCCTGGAGCCCACTTCAGAATTTGTATCTCCCTCTCTGACTCTCCCCTGCTCACGCTGTCTCTCTCCTACAAATAAATAAAAACATTAAAACTTAAAAGAAAGAATTAAAAATAATCGGAGCCTCAGGGACCTCATCAGAGGTATGCCTTTAACCTCATCAGAGACCCAGAAGGAGAAGGGGGAGCTCCAAAAAAGTATTCAAAAATATAACAGTAGAAAACATCCCAAATTTGGCAAGAGACATAAACCTACAGATTCAAGAAGCTTAACAAATCCCAAATAGGATAAATCCAAGCAAATGCATACCAAGATGCATCATAATTAAACTTCTGAAAACTAATAACAAAGAAAAATCTTGAATGCAGGCAGAGAAAACGGATACCCTATTTATAGTAGGGAAACAACTAGACTAATAGTGTATTTCTCATCAGAAATCATGGATGCTACACACAAAATTTTTGGAGTAATCATTGAAAAGAACTATGAATCTAGAACTCTATATCCAGCAAAAATATCCTGTAAGAATAAAGAAAAAATCAATACATTATTGGATGAAAGGAAACCAAGAGAATTTTCCATCAGTAGACCTATCATAAAAGAATGGCTGAAGAAAGCTCTTGAAACAGAAAGGCGACAATGAAAGAAGGAATCAGGGAACACTGGGAAGGAAAAAAGAACACAGTAAGCAAAAATATGGATAAATAAATTTGGCTCACCTTCTCCCCTCAAGTTTTCTAATTTATGTTTAACAATGAAGCAAAAATTATAATGCAATCTGATTTGGTTCTAAATGTATGTAGAGAAAATATTCAAGACGTTTATGTTATTATAAGTGGGGGAGGGTAAGGAAACATAAAAGGAAGTAAGATTTGTATATTTCACTCAAACTGGTATCACAGTAGATGGTGGTAAAGTTATACATGCAAAATATAATGCCTAGAGTAATCACTTAGAAAGCTATACAAAGCTCAAAAACAATTACAGATAAATCCAAGTGGAATTCTAAAAGTATTCAAATAACCCACAAGAAGGCAAAATGTGATAACAGATATGAAAAACAGAACAAACATAAAACAAAAATCAAAATGGTAGATGTAAACCTTAACAGAGCAATAACTATTAAAGGTAAATGGTCAAAATATACCAGTTAAATGACAGAGATTGGCCAAATGGACTAAAGAGATTTTATTTTATTTATTTTATTGTATTTAACTTAAAAGATTTTAAAAGACTCAATTATAAGAGGTCCACAAAAATTCACTTCAAATAGTGACATAATCAGAATGAAAAAAAGATATACAAACATTAACCACAGGAAGGTAGACGTAGCTATATTAACATTAGATAAAGTAGACTTCAGAACAAATAAAACTACCAGAGAAGAACTTTATAATTGACAAAAGGTCAGTCCACCAAAAAGAATAGCGACCTTAAATGTATATGCACCAAACAACAGAGGAGAAAAATATGTAAAGCAAAAACATAGAACTGAAAAGAAAAAGAGACAATTTCAGTTGAGACTTCAATACCCCCATCTCAGCAACTGACAGAATTTAACTAGACAGAAAAGTCATCAAGGATGTGCTCAACCAACAGATTCTAAGTGATATTCATGGAACGTCCCATTCAATAACAACAGAATATACACTCTTTCAAGTGCTCATGGAATATATACCAAAATAGACCATATCTAGGGCCACGAAACAATCACAACAAATTTAAAAGTGAAATCATATGTAGTGTGTTCTCTGACCCAACAGATTCAAATTAGAAATCCATAACTGAAAGGTGACAGAAATCTCCAAATACTTTTAAACTAAAAAGCACACTTCTAAACCCATGCATCAATGAAAGTTTCAAAGGAAATGTTTTTAATACGTGGAACTGAATGAAAACAAATAAAATAAAACATTCCAAATTTTGTGAGATACAACTAAAGCAGTAATAAGACAAATTTAAAGCACTAAATACACACATTAAGAAAAAAGAATAATCTCAATCAAATTCTAAGTTCCATCTCAAGAAGTGAACAAAAGGAGAGGAAAATAAATCCAAAGCAACCAAAAGGAAGGAAATAATAATCTTAAGAGTGGGGGGTGGGGGGAATAAAACAGAAAACAGGAAAACAATAGAGAAAACAATAAAACAATGAGCTAGTTCTTTGTAAAAGTCAACAAAATTGACAAAATTAGCAAGACTGACAAATTAAAAGACAGAGACACAAATTGCCAGTACCAGAAATAAAATGGAAATGGGGCACCTGGGTGGCTCAGTCGGTTAAGCATCTGACTTCAACTCAGGTCATGATCTCATGGTTCATGGGTTCGAGCCCCACGTCGGGCTCTGTGCTGACAGCCAGCTCAGAGCCTGGAGCCTGTCTTCGGATTCTGTGTCTTCCTCTCTCTCTGCCCCTCCCCTGCTCATTTTGTCTCTATCTCTCTCTCAAAAGTAAATAGGGGCGCCTGGGTGGCTTAGTCGGTTAAGCGTCCGACTTTCGCTTAGGTCATGATCTCGCGGTTCATGGGTTCGAGCCCCGCATCGGGCTCTGTGCTGACTGCCAGCTCAGAGCCTGGAGCCTGTTTCAGTCTGTGTCTCCCTCTCTCTCTGACCCTCCCCTGCTCACGCTGTCTCTCTCTCTCTTTCCTAGAAATAAATAAAACATTAAAAAAATTTTAAATAATAAAATAAATAAATAAAACATTTTTTTAAAAGTAAATAAATAAATAAATAAAATGGAAGATATCATTATGGACCCTGCAGCAGTCTTTATTATCAAAAAGATAATAAAGGAGTATACAAAATAGCTCTACACACATAAATTTGACAATGCAGACAAAAGAAACCAATTCTTCAAGAAATATAACCTATCTCAACTCATCCAAAATGAAATAGATAATTTGAATAGCCCTTATAACTATTAAGAAAATCAGATTCATAATTTTAAAGCTCCCAGTTTTGGAAGAAACCATAAATCTTCAAATGATTTCACTGGAGAATTCTGTGAATGTTTTAAGAAAAATTAATACCAATTCTATACACTCTCTTGCAGAAAATAGAATAGAAAGGAATAATTCCCAATATATTTTATGGAACATGTATTTAATAGAACACATTCTATAAAACAGAGTACAAACAGGAAACCATAGGTTAATATCTCTCATGAATATCAATGTAAATATCCCTAACAAAATTTTATCAAATAGAATTCAACAATATATGAAAAGAATTGGGGCGCCTGGGTGGCTTAGTCGGTTAAGCGTCCGACTTTCGCTTGGGTCATGATCTCGCGGTTCGTGGGTTCGAGCCCTGCGTCGGGCTCTGTGCTGGCTGCCAGCTCGGAGCCTGGAGCCTGTTTCAGTCTGTGACTCCCTCTCTCTCTGGCTCTCCCCTGCTCACGCTGTCTCTCTCTCCTGGAAATAGATAGAACATTAAAAAAAAAAATTTATAAAAAAAAAAGAAAAAAGAGTTATATCCCATGACCAGTTGGGGTTTATTGCAGGAATACAAGGCTGGTTCAATTTTTTTTAATCTGTCTGTATAATACACTATATTTCAACAGACTAAACAAGAAAAATCATAGAATCATGTTAATAAATGCAGAAAAACATTTGACAAAATTCAATATTCATCTATGACAAAAACTCTCCCCAAAATAGGAGGGATACTTCCTCAACTTAACAAAGCACAATGTGAAGAAGTCCACCAACTGACATTATTCCAAAGAGAGAAAGACTAAATGCTTTCTCTCCATGCTCAGGAACAAGGCAAGGAAGTCTGCTCTCATGAACTTGGTGGTAGACGGCCTATAAAGTACAATAAGACAAGAAAAGAAAATGAAAAGCAAACAGACTGAGAAGAATTAAAACTGTCCCCATTTGCAGATGACAGGATTGTAGAAAATTCCACAGAATCTACAAAGAAAAACCTCCTAGAAATAATAAGTTGAATAAAGTCATAAGATAGAATGTCAACATATAAAAGTCAATTATATTCCCATATGCTAGCTGTGGACACCAAAATTTAATATGACACTGTCTATAATTGCTCAAAACTAATGAAATACTGAGGTATAACTCTAACAAAACATGTACAAGACTTGTGTGCTGAAATCTATACAACACTGAGCAAAGAAATCAGAGATCTGCAGAAGTGGAGAGACATACCATGTTCATGGATTGGAAGACTCAACATAGTCAAGATGTCACTCTTCCCAAATCAACATACAGGTTGAATGCAATTCCAACCGAAAACTCAGAATGTTTTTTTGTAGAAATAGATAGTATTATCCTAAAATACATGGAAAGGCAAAGGAACTAGAATAACTAAAACAAACTTGAAAGGGAATACAGTGAGAGAAGTACGTCTGCCCAATGTCAAGACTTACTCCGCAGACGGTGATCAGGCTGGGTGGTTCTGCTGGAGGGATCAGCACATCCTGGAACTCAACAAAGGGCACAGAAACAGACCCACAAACATGCCCAGCTGGTTCGCGCAAAGGTCTAATAGCAATTCAGTGGAGGAAAGACAGCCTTCACACAAATGATGGTGAAGCAACCGGATATCAATCAGCAAAATAGTCACCATAACCGTAGTTATACAAAAATGAATTCAAAATGGATCATGAACGTAAATGCAAAACATAAAACTATCCAGCTTTAAGAA